CCACCGCAGCCTCGACCCGCTGGCCTCCAGCGATCCTTCCGCCTCAGCCTTCCAAGTAGCCGGAAACACAGGCGCGCGCCACCACGCCCGGCTCATTTTTTGACTTATTGTAGAGATGAGGTCTCGCCGCCCAGGCGGGTCTCGAACCCGCGGGCTCAGGCCATCCACTCCCCTCAGCCTCCCAAAGGCGCAGGGTGACAGGCTGAGCCACCGAGCCCGGCTAATTCGTATATTTTAACTTTAGTTCCTTTTAGCTTTATATTAAAAGGTCTCAGGCTGTATGCATCCGTTGAGATTTTTATTTTTCACATGCCATGTCATAGTACTAAGATGTGTTCATGTTGTTTCCCGTTGTCACTGTGGCTTGTTCATCTTGACTACTGTGTAGTATTCTACTTTGTGAGTATATTTCATTTACCTTCTACCTTTCAAAATTTCACTCTTGATGTCTCCTTTCCTCTTCTCCCCTTCCTTGTGAATAATTTTCAAAATTATTTGCTGCCGTATTAGTGGGGTGTTAGGAGGGAACATAATTAGGTGTGTGTAGTCAAGCCACCATTTTTTACCTGGGTTGCCTGAGTGATCACCAAAAGCAATTTGGACTGTAGGAGATGCTTTTTCCTTACTGACTTGTAAAGGCTACGCCCCGTATAAAGTATAACTCCACTGCACATCCTCTAAATCTTATCAGCATTAAGAGATGATATCTACAAATAGAATGCCAGGAAGGACTTCTGTGTTCACCCAGTCCCGCTGTCCACCTGGTTAAGGAATGTGTCTGGTCAGGAAATCACAGATAGTGACTCTGACCCTGGAGTTATCTTTCAAAATAACTCAAAGAAAAATGTTGATATTTTAGTTAACTTTACGGCGATTAGATATCGAATTTTCACTAGACTTGTTTCAATGTTGAAAATAGCCTGAGGGCCTGCTTTGTTGCCTTTAGGGAAATCTAGGGATCTGGGAGCCCAGGTTAAGGCTGAACTCCTGAGCACCCTAAATGCAACAGAAGTTCTCTCTCCCTCTCCTCTTCCCCATCCTCCCTCTCCCCCACCCCACCGTTTTCTGCAGTAAACTTCTTCTTTCTTCTCTTTTGTCCCCTGCAGGGATGTTATCAAGTGGCTGGTCAAAGCAGTGACTGAAGACGGACTGACCCAGCCCCCAAATGGGAATCAGACCTCGTCAGGAGCAGGGCTCTCGAAGGCCAGCAGCAGCCGTCCTCCTGCCCAGCCCAACCTGACGAAGAGCGCCAGTCAGCTGTAAGGGGCGGGCCGGAGCTGCCTTCCCTGGGCTGCCCTCCCTCGGCAGCTTCCCCCAAGTCAGCAGCACCTGGGAGCGTAGCTGGTTCTCCTTCGAGTCTGGCTTTACCTGAAGGCTAAATGTCTGATTCCAAGGGTAGAGCAAAAGCAGGTGCTTTCGCCCCTGGATCAATAGCAGAAATGAAACAAGAGCCAGGGGACACTGGCCTTCCTTCCTGGGTTCCAAGAGACAGTAAAGGGCCGCAGTTACTCGGCATTTCCTGTATCCGCCGACGAGAGAAGGAGCGGTGGAGAGCGGGTATTGTGGGTCTTGGGCCTCTCCCCCGTCCTGGGAGGAAAAGAGCCGCTCAGGCCGTGGGTCCCAGCAGACCGAGGCAGGCCTCAGGACCTCTGACTGCCCGGAAAGAGGTGCAGGGCGTTTCTTTTAGAGAGTCGAGAGGGGTCTTGTGTCTTTTGAGAGAGTGCCAGGACTCTAGGGACTGGGACTGCCCCTGCCTATGGGGAAAAACTCCGTATCCGTCGTGTTGTTAAAAGCCCATCACCCTTGACATTTCAAATATAGCATCTGTGCCTGAATTCACGGTGCTGTGTTATAACCTGGTTGCACCAACCTGATTTTCAGGCAAGATCTACAGGTGTAGGCGGTCTTTTGTCTAAAGGGGGAATGTTTGGAAACATTTGCTCGGGCAGATTGGGAGAGGCCCTAAAGTGGGATTATCCCAGAGGCATCACATTCAGCCCTGAGAGAGCAGACACTGTTCCTGCCATGGAAGCTAATCTCACATCATAATAATCATAATAAGTTGTTATAAGTTAATATCGGTAGAAATAACAAGAGCCCCCTAAAAGTCCATTTTATTGTGGTCTTCTTGACAACAATAATAGGTACTACCATTTACCATTTAGAGAGTCCTTATCTGCCATATTTTTTAAACATCACTCACAGCTTTATGACATGGGTGGTATCATCCCCCCTTTTTATAGATGAGAACATTTGAACTCAGAGCAGTTTAGTAACATGTGAAAGGATGAACAGCTTATCATTGCAGAGCCAGAATCTGATTCACTAGCTGCAGATTTTCTGAAAACAAAACCCTTTCTTCCATCACAAACAAAACGTGTTAGAAAAGGCCAACGTCAGGCCAGGCTCACCTTTCTGAGGGCTTGTCCAGATTCCTAATGCCACATCAGGCTGGCTGTCTCCTACAGTTGGGTCTCTCATGGGAGAGAAGGCTGGATTCTACCACTGGACTCAGTAAGAAACTGTCGTAAAGGAGACAGGAGCAGGAGAAAGCTATATGGCAAATATTTTTTCCTGTAGCAAAGAAATCACAATTTTTAGTCTCTCTGGATCCGTTTCTTATTTAAAATGGAGAAGTTAAAGGTTGGATGATCCTTAACGTTCTCTAGAGCCTTAAGATTGTGTGGTTCTGTTTTTGAATTGAAAAGCAGCTTGATTTTACAGCTCACCCCCATGTTCTGAGAGGGTCAGATAGTGTGGTCTGGCAGAAGGGATTCAGGTAGGTGAAACTGCTCAATGCAAGCATGCCGATGACTTGAGTGGCTCTCCCTGGCCGTGTGTGCTTTCCAAGATCCTTCAGTGGTCCCTGTCCTTGATGTCCGCTGGTGGGGACCTCCTCCCAGCCGCAGGGTGGCTGCTCGCCAGTCCTCCCGCTCATCCATGTCCTGTGTTCCGGACTCAGGATCGTGTGCCAGCTTCAGAGGATGCTCTCCATCGCCGTCGAGGTGGACAGGACTCCTACCTGCAGCTCCAACAAAATTGCTGAGATGATGTTCGGGTTTGTGTTGGACATTCCTGAGAGGAGACAGAGGTAAGTCTTGGTTTGGGTTTTGGTTATTTGGTTTTGATTTTATTCTCCTAGACGTTTTTTCTGTCTTTCCTTTCTACTGGGAACAGAATTTCACAAGAGAAAATTCTGAACTGCTTGAAGTAGGAAGAAAAAGGTAGAGGGATTGTACTTGGCTTTTTGACTTTTTGTTACTTGTCTTTTTGGCTAATTGTTACTATTTACACCTGAGGCATAATTTTCGGAAGCAGCAGGATACGCTAGATGGAGCCTAAATTTCCCTACCTTACCATTTGCCTAACACCTTTATTTACTCACCCTTCAAGACCTCACTGTTAAGCACAATCTTCTTTTCTGACCTTCACCTGCAGGGCCTGGCATCACTGTTCACTAAAGGCTTGGTGGGTGAATGAAATACACATGTCCAATGTTAGGGGAAGGAGAGGTGACCCAAGAATGAAGAGAATTGGACCTGTATAGTAAGAGCCCAGATAGTAAGAATGTGGAGTTCAGTTTCTCCAAGCAGGAGTTAGTAAAGTATTTCATTAGGTGGAGATAAAGAAATTGAGTTTTTGGCTGGGACCAAATGATTTCTTCCTTGAACCAGTAATTTTAAAATCCAGAGGAAGAAAAATAAACCACAATGAATATGAATTAATGAGCAGTTGCTGGTATAGGAAATAACTGTGAGAGAGCCGTCGTACAGTGGTGACCTTTGGGGAAATGTATGTTTGTCTGCAGTACGTCTCCATTGGCTACATGCTTGCTTCCCATCTCCATCCCCAAGCTCCCAGCTGGCCACCAGGCCTGCTCTGGTTTCTTCTATTTCAAGAAAATGTCATACGAGATAGTACTGTAAGTGGACTTACTTAAAACACCCTGCTGAGATTAAGACATTTACCGAGTCCCTACAATGTGCCAGTTCTTATCGTATCAATTGTCTCATTTATTTTCTTCTAATGTTATCCCTATTTAATGGGTGAGAAGAAAAACTCGAAGGAGTGAAGTTAGCCCGTGGTTGTACAGCTGACCAGATTCAGAATCCAGATCTAAATGGGGCTTAATTCAGCCTTCAGTGGAGGCAGTATGTTGTAGTGGTCAGACAGAAGAAAGTACGCATAAATGCTCTGCCTGCTGTATCACTTGGGGCTATTTCATTTGGGTCCAATTCCCATATTGTTTACTCATGTAAGCCTAGATTCTGATGAGAAATGGGAAATCCAAGGAATGGGTAACTATAAACAAATTTAGATGTAAAATAGACAAAAATTTTTTTTTTTTTTTTGAGTTGGAGTTTCGCCCTGTCTCCCAGACTGGAGTGCAGTGGCACGCTCCCGGCCACCGCAGCCTCGACCTGCTGAGCCACCAAACCCGGCACATATAGTACTTTATAGCCAATTGTGTTAGCTGGGTACCTAGGCTAACTTTGTTGGACTTAAAACAACTTGGAGCCAGGCTCAGTGGCTCAGCCTATAATCCCGTGTTGGGAGGCCGAGGTGAGTGGATTGCCTGAACCTGCGGGTTCAAGACCCGCCTGGGCAACTTGGCGAGACCTCATCTCTACAATAAATCAAAAAATTAGCTGGGTGTGGTAGCGCACGCCTGTAGTTCCGGCTACTTGGAAGGATGAGGCGGAAGGATCGCCGGAGCCCAGCGGGTCGAGGCTGCGGTGGCCATGAGTGGCCACTGCACTCCAGTCTGGGTGACAGAGTGAGACTCCAACTCAAAAAAAACAAAAAACAACTTGGGCTTCAAATGTGCTCTTGGAACAGAATTCGTTCATATGTTGGGGACTTCTGTATGTATAATAAATATAAGCATCTTTGTGTAAGAAGGAAGGAGAGGCCAGGCACAGTGGCTCTCGCCTGTAATCCCAGCACTTTGGGAGGCTGAGGCGGGATGATCACTTGAGCCTAGGAGTTTAAGACCAGCCTGGGCATCATAGCGAGACCTCCTCTCTGAGACCTCATCTCTAAAAAAAAAAGAAAGAAAGAAAAGCGAGGAGAGAGAGAGAGGCTAATAAATGCCTTAGGAAGAGCAGGTGGGTCGGAAAAAGTAAAGGAGGGAAAGGAGAAAAGCTGGGCTGGGTGGGGGTGGGGGTGGCGTGGGGTGCACTGCCCTGAGTGTGCCTTTTCGTATAGCTTTGAACCTTTTGAGAGCCATGTTAATGTTTGACACACTCAAAAAAAATCAGAATATAAACCGAAGCAAACTAACTTAGCTGTACTTCAGATTAACAAAATGATGGGAGCTGGGCATGGTGATGTGCACCTGTAGTCCCAGCTACTTGGGAGGCTGAAATGGGAGGATCGCTTGAGCCCAGGAGTTTGAAGCCTACTTGGGTAAACATAGCAAGACCCTGTCTGTCTCAAATGAATAAACAAAATGGAGGCAGGGTTAGAGGGACCAGCCTATGTAATTTTTATCAAACTTTTTATTTTTTAATGCAGTAATTGTAGATGCACAGGAAGTTCCAAAAGCTATTAGGAAGAGGTGCTGTATATCGTGGGCCCAGGAGGTTGAGACTGCAAAGAGCCGTGAGCGTGCCACTGTACTCCAGCCTGGGCGACAGAGTGAGATGCCAACAAATGGATGGATGGATGGATGGATGGATGGAAGGAAAGATAAATGACATTGAGAAATATCTGGCAAATGGAGTAATGGGAAGTCTTTTGCATGAGAGAGGAAAATTTTTCAGAGGAGATACAGAAAAGGATTTTAAAATCTCATTGAAGAGATGAAGCGGATTTTCAAAAATATTTTAGACTTTAAAAAGTTTTTGAATTACAGACGCAGAGATGAGTAGATGCTCATTCTGCTTTTTAAACCTTACCTGACACAAGCAGTCTGTGTGCCTGGTGGAGAAACACAGGTAAGGGGAGCAAAGAAGAGACGCTTTTCTCCCTTGGCGTCGTGTGCAGGACAGCGGCACGCGAACCTGCGTCTTCCCAGACGTTGCAGAACTGCCGCGGGCCGGACCCCAGGAGCCGCCGGGCCGGGCGGGCTGCCGCGTGGCCCCG